CTGGGCCGGGTGGCACTGACGCTGGAGGAGTTGAGTGTCCCGCGCGCGCCTGCTGCTGGACTGGAGCGCTGGTTCCCGCTGCTCGGGGCACCAGCGGGTGCGGCGCTGCGGGCGCGGATCCGGGCGCGACGCCTGCGCGTGCTGCCGTCGGAGCGCTACAAGGAGCTGGCCGAGTTCCTCACTTTCCACTACGCGCGCCTCTGTGGGGCGCTCGAGCCCGCTCTGCCTGCTCAGGCCAAGGAGGAGTTGGCAGCCGCCATGGTGCGTGTGCTGCGGGCCACCGGACGGGCGCAGGTTAGGCTCCAGGACCACGCGGATCTGGTGACCAGGGGGGCTCTGGGCTGGAATGGAAGGGAGGAACCTGAGATGAACCAGTCAAGGGCAGGGTACCTTTGGAGGCGTGGCCCGAGGGGCAGTTCGAGAAACAAAACCTGGGTAACATCTGGAGGGGTGGGGCCTGAGCAACACCCATCAGGGGCGGGGCCTGAACTGAGCCTATGAGCGGAAAGGTTTGCTCTGACGTGAGAAGTGGAAGTTCTGAACTCGGGAGTCTCCAGCAGTGAGGGCTGGACTAAGAAAGGACAAGACCGTGTCCCAGGTGTGAAGGATGGGCCAAGGGCCATGATTCCCTCTGGCTCAGTCTGTGCAATGTGACCCCTGCCCTACCCAGGCATTGGTGACAGACCTGGGCACTGCAGAACTGGCACGCTGCGGAGGCCGCGAGGCACTGCTTTTCCGAGAAAACACATTAGCTACTAAGGCCATTGATGAGTACATGAAGCTGGTGGCACAGGATTATCTCCAGGAGACCTTGGGTGAGTTGGGAGGAGGGGTTGGTGACTAAGGCCTGCAGAATGAGCTACAAGACCCCAGAGGTTAACCTGAATTCCGGTTGTGGGTGGTACTTTGGGGATGCTAGGATCCTGAGGGAACTGGATACTCTCCACACACAACGTTAGGTGCTTGTGGAGTAAGTTGGTGATAGGGCTGCAGGCTGGGTGTGGTGAGTTTTGGTCACCAGGGTCCTGAACCATGTCTGGTTGTGTGGGCTGCAGGGCAGGTCGTGCGGCGTCTCTGTGTCTCCACTGAGGACTGTGAAGTGGACCCCAGCAAGTGCTCCACCTCAGAGCTGCCCGAACACCAGGCCAGACTCCAAAACATCTGTGAGGAGGTCTTTGAAACCATCGTCCACTCCTACGAGTGAGAATCAGGGGCCCAGCACTAGAGCCCATCTCTGCCTCTCAGCCACTATACTAACCCTGATCTCCCAATTGAGGCTGTCAGATAAAATGCAAGACACTCAAATTTGGGGCAATATTTAGGACATACTTTAAAAAGTACTCATTGTTTATATGAAAGTCAACTTTAACTGGTGTCCTGAAGTTTTATTTGCTATATCTGTCATATCACCTGACCCCAACTAACCTGGGACCCTGTTCCTTATCCTCTAACCACAGGTGATTTTATACCCCAATCCCATGACACTTGACCCTAGCCAACATAGGACCTCAATTCTATGACCTCTGATTCCAGCTGGTGCCTACCCTGAATCCCAAGACCCCTGATCTTAAGTGGCCCTGTATCCTAAATCCCATGATCATGGGAAAATCTAGGATTCCAATTTTATGACTTCTGACTCCAGGTGGCCCTGTAACCCCAATCTCATCCTGCTTCATATCATGTACTGTAGTTCCCTAATCTCACATCCAATTATAACCCCCAAGTCCATGACCTCTGTCCCTATGTAATCCCATAAAGCCTGAATCTAAAAGCACTGATTCCAAAGGTTGTCAATAATAAGTACTCTATAAGCCCCCAGAGACCCAAACCCACAAGTATCATTATCCCACATGTTCTCAATCCTGGAACCCAGACCCCAGGTTCAATAAGAAGAAAGTCTACACAGACTTCAGAAATAGCTTCCTGATAGATCACAGACAAACCATGCAATGCTTCTTACATGTATAACCCCTGACCATCCACGGTCTTTATGTCCATAGCCTCCTCCTCTAACCATTGCTTCTTCTGCCCCAGCTGGTTCCCAGCAGAACTGGGAACCGTGTTCTCAGGATGGCGAGAAGTGTGCAAAGCACGTGGGTCTGAGGCACTAGGCCCCAGACTGGTGTGTGCCTCTCTCTTCCTGCGGCTCCTGTGCCCCGCCATCCTGTCACCCAGCCTCTTTGGCTTGGCACCAGAGCACCCAGCACCTGGCCCAGCTCGCACCCTCACCTTGATCGCCAAGGTCATTCAGAACCTTGCCAACCATGCACCGTAGGTCCTGGGAGGCTGGTGGGGGGCAAATTTTGGCTGCTGGTGGCAGGGGCGGATGCTTGTCCTGACCTTTCCAGCTTGGCTCCAACCCAGGTTTGGTGAGAAGGAAGCCTACATGGGCTTCATGAACAGCTTCCTGGAGGACCATGGACCCGCCATGCAACGCTTCCTAGACCAGGTGGCTGTGGTAGATGTGGACGCTGCACCTAGTGGTTACCAGGGCAGTGGTGACCTGGCCCTCCAGTTGGCAGTCCTGCATGCCCAACTCTGTACGATCTTTGCTGAACTTGACCAGGTAGGGCCGGAGCCCACAACCCTGAATGCAGGGTGGGGAGATAAGAAGGCTGGGAGGCTCTGGCCTCAGACAGCTTCTCAGCATCCTTTCTGCATACCTCACCAGGCAACCTGTGACAGCTTGGAACCGCTGCCCACCATCCTACGAGCCATTGAGGAGGGCCGGCCTGTACCTGTGTCTGTGCCAATGCGTCTCCCACTATCTGTGGCCCAGGTCCACTCCAGGTAACCTCAAATCAAATTCACATTCTTTTTTTTCCTTCTTTCTCTCTTTTATTCTTTTTTGTTGTTGTTGTTTTTGATTCGGTACAGTGTGCTCAGAGGACAGGCAGTCACAGTCAGATTGAATTGAAGGTAGAGATCAAGTCATGTCAGAGGTCAGGGAGAGGTCACCTCTGGGGCCAGCGAGAGTAAGTAACCTTGTGGTCAGCAATGAAGGTGAGGTTTCAGTCAGCTGTTGTGGATGGGGTCAAATTGGGGATCAGGTTGAAATCAGATGTTAGAATGCAGTCATCAAGAGTCAGGAAAGACTGGTCAGGCTTAGGTCATGAACAACTCTCCCAGGACTGGTCAAATTCGGTTGATTGATTGCTCCTTGTATCTTAACCATGCCAGGCTCTGATCCAACCCTTCTTCAGACATAGTTAGGCCCCACCTTCCTGTCAGAACAAACCCCACCTCACCTTCAAATCCTGCTCACTGGATCCCTAGCTGTCCAACCTCAAGCTAGAAGGGACTTCCTCAGGAAATAGAGGTCAGGCATTGTAGGCAGGGTCATATTTGATCACAAGTCAGGGACCATTTCTAGGTCAGAGGTTGGAAAGAAGATGAAGTCACACTGGGAATGCAGATGGTGCCCCTGTGCACAGAGGTCAAGTGCAGGCTCAGATTGGAAACAGAGGTTACTGACAAGATCACTTCAAGGGTCACATTGTGTCAGAAGTCAGGGACAAGGTTAGAAAAGGGAGCAAAGTTTAGATTGGAGTCATGTCAAGGGTCCTCTCTAGAGGATGGTATGATATAGTCAAGGACATGGTCATAGGTTAAAATGTGATCCTGACAGGGACAGAGTTGCATAGATGTAAAACATCAAGGATGGGGTCATTTCTGGCGAGAGGTTGGGATGGGGTCATCTCAGTTGAGGGTCTGAGCGTCCCCACTCCACCCCAGTTTCTTCGCAGGGGAGAAGCCCGGCTTTCTGGCACCCCGCGATCTCCCCAAGCATACTCCCCTCATCTCCAAGAGTCAGTCTCTGCGCAGCTTTCAGGGGGCTGGGTGTTGGGCAGAGCGGCGGCGGAATGAGGAGCGGCCCCCGCGGCGGCCCCGGCCAGTGCAGCGCACGCAGAGCGTCCCCGCCAGACGCCCAGCCCGCCGCCGTCCATCTGCAGAGCCCCGGCCACGACCCAAAGGTTTCCTACGCACCAGCTCCGCGCCCCGCTGCCGGCCCCGGACCGGGGCTTCCGCCTCTTTGCCTCGAAAGCCGTCGGTGCCCTGGCAGCGCCAGCTGGACCAGCCACGGGACCGAGATCAGGCGCTGGGGGGCACGCACCGACCAGTGGGCAAGGTGAGGTTTAGCCCAGGTCTGCCCCCGGGGATCGGGGTGGGGCAAGGAGCAGATTGGAACGGGACTGAAAAAAGACTGAAGGCCAGGCAAGATTAAGTTCAAATACCAAGCTCGCTGAGCTATGTGACCCTATGTAGTCTAACACTCTCTGTGCCTCAGTTTACCCCCCTCTGTACAGTAGGAGCGATGGTCCCCAATTGGGTAATAAGGCCAAACGTTTAAGACTAGGAGGTCTGGAGTCTCTGGGGAGAGAAAGGGGCCGGATAACGGATCGGATTACAGCTGCTGTCCTCTCCACAGCTGGCAGAGCTACAGTGCGAGGTGGCTGCTCTGCGCGAGGAGCAGAAAACGCTGTCCCGCCACGTGGAGTCGCTGAGCACCCACATCCGGGCCTTGACCGAGCAGCAGGAACAGCTGCGCCGCCAGCTGCAGGAACTGGACTCTAGGCTCAGAGCTGGGTGAGCCCCGCTCTCTCAATTAGCTCCACCTCCAGGCGCGCCCACACCAAAAGAGATCTGCCCTGGCCTTGCTTCATTCATGCCTTGGTGTCTCCGTTAGGCCCGCCCGAATCTTGCCTGGGAAGGCCACGCCCCCCCCAAGCTACACCCTCCCCTAAGACATCAGGGCCTGGCACTCAGTCCCTTAGGGTAGGTCCACCCACGCAGGCCGCTCAGGCCCCAGGCAGGTCCTCTTATAACTAGACTGGGCTAGGACTGAGACACTTCAGTCTGGGCGCATCCCTACCCCATCACAACCCTTCCAAAAGTAACGAAGCTCCGCCTCCAAGTGTTGATTGATTGGCCCTTGCATCTTAACCATGCCAGGCTCGCATCCAACTCTTCTTCAGACAAACTTAGACCCCGCCCTCCAGTCTGAACAAACCCTGCCTCCACTCCAAGCTCTTCCTTTGGATCCCTGACTATCCCCAGCTCGAAGGTATTTCCCCAGCCTCTGATCTTCGCCCCTTGATCCTGAACCCCACAGGACTTCGGAGCTTGATCCAGAGGGTAGTCTTCCAAGGACCGAGGGCCACAGACTGAAAACTCTGGTGAGATTCCTATCTGAGCCCTGGACAGGTGTGGGAGATGGTCTGGGCGGTACAGGAAAGACGGTTGAAAAGCGACGCTTTCCACTCCTCTGTGTCCCCAGGAGCGTCGCCTGACTGAGATGGAGCGAACTCAGGTCCAGCTAAGAGATGCTGTCCAGAGCCTACAGCTTCTTCCAAGAATATCAGAGTCTCAGAGCCAGCCCCTGTCCCCCAAAGCACCATGCATCAATGGAGACACCACCTGAAATGCCCATCCTACCCCACATCGTCTGGGAGCCAGCCAAGAGATAGCCATCTTGGGGGGTTGATGTCTAAAGCCCACATAATCCCTACATGGAGAGTAGAAGTGGAGGTACTTACCACTCTGGTACTCTGAGGTTGCCCAGTAAAATCTTGATTTCAGCCCCTAAGCATTGCTAAAGAGAGAGTCCCCCTGCCTCCTATTCAGTTCTTCAATTCTCCCCTAATTTGAGGTATAATGGGGAAAGACATGTTAGCAGATTCTAACTAGCTGTGTGACCTCAGGGCATCACTGTAGGATCCTCCACTCCCTCATCTGCAAGATGGATCTAAAGTTCCCTACACAGTGAAGACCCTTAGTTAAAGGTATCAAATAAAGGGTATTTGACGTTGGTATGTGCAGCATCTGTTTCTTGATGAAGTATGGGTCCCTTATCCCACCCTACTCTGCAACCCCGAAGGCCCCAGGTAACAGAATCTTCCTAGATTGGTAGGTAGGTGTGAAGATGGTTGAGCTTTATGGGTGAATGGTTGAGTAAATGATTAGGCATTTGAATCATGGGTGAGGAATAAGGTGGATGGAACAGTAGGCAGATGAATAGGTTAGCACTTGCTGGATGTTTGATCTGATAGATGAGTAGTTGGATGGATAGGTGGCTAACTAGGATGGATAGGTCTATCTCAAAAAGGCATGGCTGACTGTAGGAAATAAATACTTGAGTGAACTGAGTAAGTGATTGTATAAGTTTTATGGCCATTTGTTGAGGTCTTCTGAGACTCTGAGCTGGGCCATGGGAAAACAATAATGAACTGGACAGACAGGACCCTTGTCTTCACGTGGAGAAGAGAAACAAATATACAGTTGATGGATGATTGTTTGGGTGACTGAGTAGAAGGATTGTGTAGTGATGGTTGGGATACTTGCTTGATTGTATGGATGAATAGGTATTTGGGTGGTGGAGGGATGGGCAGGTAGATGGGATATGGATGGGTGTGTTGAGTGGGTGTTTGGATGGATGACTAGATGGTTGGGGGTTGAATGGATAGGTGGTTAGTTGATTCAATGAGCAGTTGAGTGGTTGAACCATTGATCATGTAGATTACTGGGTAGGGAGATAAATGAATGGTGGATGGAAGAAGGGAACAGTCTTGTGATGTTGGTATGATGGGCTAGTCTTAAGGCTGTGATCCTGGGAGATAGGTGGAGAAGGGAGGCTTAACTTTGAGGACCTAGAGCTTGGAAATGTTGAAGTCCAGTGTGAATAAGGGGGAAGGATGGAGTGACCTTATGTTTGAAGATAGCTGATAGGACGCAAGGGACTGGAAGCTAAGGATTGCCTGGATGGGGGTCCTCAATGACATATGACTGATGCATGGGGAAACTTCTCTGCCCCTTTCCCACTCTTCTGGCGGCATTAACGAGCCTAGCATGGGAAGAACTAGCGGGGTGATGGGAGCCATTGGGGGCGGGAGGACAAGGGTGTTGTCATGGTAACAGAGCCTCTCCCTGGACGTTCGGGTCGCGCGGGCCCTTTAAGGGTGACCTGCTTGGCCACTCCCAACATGGCGGCTCGCCCGCTGGCCGTCCACCCCCCCCCGGGGGGGGGGCGGTGTCGGGGGGAGGGGGCGCCCCAGACCTCCCCATCATGGCGGCGCGGCGGGGCTGTCGCGCTGAGGTCACGGCGGCGCGCCGGGGGGGCGGGGCGGCGGGGGGAGAGATTTAAAGGGACAATGTCCCCCGAGCGGTGGAGGCGGCGGCGGCTGCGGAGGCCGCGGCACCGGCACCAGGAGCGGCAGTGGCGGTGGCGGCAGTGACGGCCGCACAGAAGAGAGGAGCTCGGAGCCGCGGCACCTGGCCGGTGGCACCGCCTCCCCGGTGAGGCCCGGCCCGGCCTGGAGAGCCCGCGGGCGGGGCGGAGCCGGAGCGGGGAGGGGGAGGCCTGGGCCGGGCCGGGCC